CCCCCCGGCGACCGGGCGCTTCCCTCTTCCCTGTTCTGCGCCGCAAACTCCGCATCCCCAGAAGCCTTCCACTCCCTACAGGTCCAGCCTTGTCTGGGGCCCGCCACTGGACCCCGCATCCCTCCTCCTCCCTCCCTCTCCGCCCAAGATGCCCCCAGCTCCTCGCCGGCCGCAGGAATTTTACCGCTTCTTTAGCAGTCCCTCCCTTTATTTCCCGAGGAAGCAAGTTGGGTAGCTTGATTATTTCTTTTCTTTTCTTTTTTTTTTTTTTTGCGGGGAGGGTCGATTTTCCGGGGTGCGCCCGCAAGGACTTGGCGGCGGGGAGAGGCAGGGGTTCCCTGGCCCCTGCACTGCCCCCCCCGGTGGGTTTTGTTTCCAGACCCTCAAGCCCCCCGAACAATAATGCAGTCGCCATGGCGGGCTCACCTGGTGCTGCGCCGCCTGCTCCCGGCGCCCGGTGCCCTCTGCGCGCCGCTCCCCGGGCGCAGGTTCGGCCCGCACGGCGCCGGTGCCGGGCAGGACTCTTTGCCTTTCTTTAGGTTCTATCTGTGCGTGTCAATGGCGGCAAGCGGCAGTTCTCCGGGCCGCGGATAGTAGCGGGGGGAGGAGGAGGAGGGAGAAGGGATTGCTCCTTCTCCACATAACCACCTCTAGGAGGAGTCGCTCAGCCTCATCCACCGCCAGCCCAGGCTCCGCGACGGGTCCGGGGCTTTCGGTAGGGCTTGATGAGCTATTGTCCTTCAGGAGCATTAATGATGAAACCGTGCGGCCACCGCGTCGCTGGCGGATCTGCGGGATGAGCTGAGGGCCACTTGCTAAGATGAGGCTTACCCCAGAGCTGGAGACAGAGGCGCTATGGTCGCGATCCAGAATCTCCTGTTAGCAGGATCCACCTTTGGTGGAAGAAGGCGTGGGCGCTCATCGGGCAGTTCTGGAGAAAGCCTTAGAAGGTGAAAGAGAAAAATGTCACCTAAAATGTTTTCGTGTCCTTAAATAATAATAAATACATTAACATTTGTGTCCACCACTGGGACGATACCATAGGGTGGCCACAGCCACAAACTGAGAATTTATGTCCATGCCTGTGGGTTTTTTTAATAAATTAAGACCAATTTAGAATCCAGCGTTGCGTGATATTTGGAGTAGCAAATGTATGTTTTGGTGGGTTAGATCGTGTGCATGGACATGATTTTTAATTTGGTTGCTTTACAGTATGTTAATTTATAATATCTCAGCATGTATTAAGATTAGTACGAGGCTACTGTCTTAAGGACTAATTTTTATTAGTTTCGAGAAAATAAATTTTTACCATGTTGTGGTGGACAATATTAGGTGTGAGTAATGGGATTAGTAGTTGCTCTGTTCCTACTGAAAGCCAGCGCTGCCCTTTGTAACGCGAGATGTTGGCCAGGGCTCCATGGCTGGCTGGGGGGTGAGTCAAAGGAATTTGTTTAATTTCAGTGGGAAATGCTAACTTGCTATGGGCAAGCTATGCTTCCCCCGCTTTCTCCCTGATGAGTCAAAGGATTGTGAGAGGCAATATTGTGATCTTTTCGCAAAAGAGAAGCTCACAAATTTCCCTAGCATTGGCCAAATGGATGTGTTTCAAAGCCTCTCCATTTGGTAGTATTGTGTATATTTGCCCCTATAAACTTATAAATGTTTTAGCAATGGGGAATTGGGGGGCGACTGAGAGCCTCCAATTGCTTGAGGGGAAGAACCCAAATGCCCACTGCCTTCTGGATTTATACTAGTTAACCAGGGCTGTTGATGTATTTGGTAGATAGCACTTTAGACCATGTGCATTTTAAACAAATATTTTGCTCAGAAATCAGTCGACTTCTCAAAAGATCATGCATGTATCATTAAGATATAAATAAAACTCGCTCTGTTTAAATCTCGTAGGGCTTCTCAAACTCTTCTGAACCCAGTGGTCTTAGTTTATTGGGACTTGCTTCACTCGTCTTCCAATTCTTTTTACCCTCTCTCTGTATGACCTCACTGTTCTTTGTCTTTGAAGGTACTCTCCAGGTTGGATAAAGTCCTCTTTTCTGAAGACATATATTTAAAGGGTTTCAAATGAACCCCTGAGGCATCTCATATGGTTTCAATTTTCCTTTTCCTAGAGGAAGTGCCTGTCTCCCTACTTAGAGAGATTTCTGGTGTCCATTTTTGATCAGCATTAACCTCCAGGCCAACATTCAGGAGGGTTCAGGAGCCTTCTGGGAGTGCTTGAAAAATACTCCTACCCTGTGACCCAATCAGCCAGGCTGACTGAGATATAGTTTAATAATAATTCATCAATATATATTAAATCCACATTTTCCCTGTAACTTCCCAATAAAAATGGTCGGTGTGGTCATTTTCATGTGCATTTTATGTAACTCGTTTCATTTTTTATGTGCTAGCATTTTGTTACAGGCTATCCCAAGAAAGGCTGGGTCTAAGAAACTTAACTAGTCAGGATTCTCTCATTTTCTACAGGTTGGTTTCTTCAAATAGATAATGCAGTCGCAACTCAGAGAATCAAGAGGAGTGTCAGCTTCATAATACTCTTGTTCTTAGAACAGAAGGGAGCAGAGTTCGCCTGGTCAAACTGTTTATGTTATAGGAAGAAATCTGGTATTTACATTTACAGGTGGTGAAGTTACTCAGCCAAGGCCATGCAGGTAATTCATGGCAGACTCTAGTGCATTTTCAGATACACAGCCTAACGCAGTTTCCGCCAATTTAAAACTTCTCAGGATGCATAGGAGACAAATACGCAACCTAATATGCAGATGTAATTAAGTTATATATATTTAATATTGAACATTTAACACATGAACAAAATTTAACACAATATCATGTAGTTAAAATACATTTAAAGTAGTCAACATGACTATGAATTCATCAGTAATCTTAAATTCTGCAGTGGCCTCTAGCTCGGAATCTCTGACAAGGTGGATAATAAATAGTGATAATGAGAGTTTACACTTATTAAATGCTTAGTATGTGCACTGTGCTTTTCCCTTTACTACTAACTCATTTAATCCTTGCAACAACATTATGGGGTGGGCATTATTTTCTCTTTTATACAGAAAGAGAAACTGAGACAGAGAGCAGATGAAAAATTTGCTCACAGTTATAGAGTAAGAAAGTGTCAGGTTTACACTCTTAATCCCTGGTGTTAGGGATGTGCACATTCACTTTAAGCAAAGGAATATTATGATCAATCACATGATCAAAGGTCCCTTGGAGCATTCCCAATACATACCCTCAAAGAGTCATCGAAAAGCCTAATTATAAGAGGTTTGGTTGATTACCATTGCACTGAAAATATTTTCTTAACCTTTGACCTGTATGTGTGCATTATATTATGAGTAAATGTATTGATTGTGAGTTGATTCCTTTAGTGACAAGGATGTCTAGTGAACATTTGTGAACATTTTATTGATACTGTTTCTCCACTTAGAGAAAGACATGTAGCGTGATTAGGAGATGAAAAAAATTAATCAGCTATGCACCTAGATTCATATTCTATTAAGTCTAATGGTAAATCATTAACAAAATCATCTTTTAAAAATAACTCTATAATTTCATCCCCCCAAACCTTTTTACTTTCTTATGATCCAAATTTATGATGTTGTATGAATTGAGTGGGGTTTTATTTTCCATGGTTCTAATTTAGTTTATGACACCTATTATAATTTGTGATCATTTTGCCCTTCTAACATCTTGGTATGCAATTACCCTGTTAATTTCCTGACCCTTGCCTCTTCCAGAGGACTGTATCATGTAGGTATATATTTATATCTGGCATATGTAAGTATATGTGTATAAGATTTATATATTCAGATTAACTTTATTTGACATTTCTGATCTTTGAGGTAACCTGAGATTCCTTGGGAATGTTATAAAAGCAGGTGGAAATCATTGGTTTAAGCCCTTTGTACATTAGGCAATTCTAGACGCCACATTAATTCCATCAAGACAGCAACTGGCATAACTCTAAATAGCAAGTTGGGGGCCTGAGATTATAAATGCAGAGGTTAGAAAAGCACCAAGCTAAATATTACCTGGCTATGCTAAGAAATAAGTACAACTTCTAAATGTACCTTATAGCCTGGAAAATACTAAGCAATCTGACTTAAATTTTTTTTGTTAGCTAGAAATATGCAAAGTCTTTCCTGTTGTTATATTTTGAATAGTGAACATGATTTATGTTAAACATTTATTTCCTTGATCAGAACTGGTGGTTTTAGGATCTTAATCATTTGTGGAAAGGAATAATGAATGCCCTTAGAGAAAAGACACATAGGCAATCATTGTACCAACAAAGCCCATTCTAGTATTTCTGGCTAAAATAAACATCTTCCTCTCCTAACAAAAGAAATATTTTACTAGTTCTCATTCTTAAAAACAACAACAAAATATGTTCCTTTTGATACTAAGTTCTGACCCTTTGGTTCCGGAAAAATAGGCTTTACATGAATGGGTAATGTGTGCATAGATGCATATCTATGCACATATGTCTATATATGAATAAATATTTGACTTGTGTATTATGTGTGTATAAGATATGTAGTGACTGAGACTACAGTAGGCTGAGAGTTAAGGCTGATTTGGATTCTAAAGGAATCTACCAAATGTTTAACCAATGAACTATATTGAAAAAGAAAATGAAATGTTTCGGGTTTTTAAGAGAAATATATTGTCAGCCCCAATTATGCAAAGTTGTGGTTAGGAAAATAAGGCACATGGTGTCATTAAATTTAATGAAAACAGAATCCAGAGCTCAGGGGAGTGTGCCAGTTGGTATCTTGCTCAGTTTGGTGCCAGAGCTTTCTGAGAGATTATCCCGTTACCTCCGGGCAGAGCGCTTTACGACAATTGTGATAGGAAGTGGCAGTGTGCATCTAGAGTTTGGACCTCAGCATCTGTGTTGGGAGATCTGTGCATTGTGGTCTCACACCTAAACAAAATTGCTCTTTACAATTTAGACCCATTCTAGAGAATGGGGGCATTGATTTTTTTCCAAATCCACAAAAGCAGAATACCATAGCAAAACTATAATTTATTTATACGAATGGTGTGTTTTCACAAAGGCCATCTGTCAGTTGACTCTCTGATCTAAAACAAATCTGTTTGTTCCCCGGAAAAAATAACATGTCTGTTGAAAAAAGATTTATGGACGACAGGCTGCCCAATCCACCAGCCATTGGTATAATAGTAACTATTTATGATATATTTACTTCTAAGGGAGTGCTGTGAGTGGAAACTATTACTTGTAAAGTATGGTAATTAATTTTTCATTACCTCAAAGCCAAGAAATGGAGCCCAGTTGCATTTATTAAGATTGCTGCATGAGAAACATGTTTCTTCTGGAAAAATATCCAAATAAAAGCATTCAGAGAACTTTGGCCACATGATAGCTCACTGCTCTGATGGGTGGGCTTAGAATATGGGCCTGAATTTAGCACCTCAAGCTCTGGATTTGTTTGTGGAGGGCAAGAGGACAAATAACTATTGAATGATCCTGGCCACTTGCTCTCTAGGCATCATTGATGGCCCTTACTGAAAATTAGATCTTCCCATTAATACTAAAAGAAAAAAGGACTCTAGGCTTGAAGAAACAGAAATGGAAGAAAAGGGCCCCCATTCCCATCCTCTCTACACACAAAGGAGATGTACGAGTGAATGTTTATTTATTTTTTTATATTTATTTCAGGATGGAATCTAATATTTTTAAATATGTACTCTTCAAGAAACCAGGTTAGGTCCCATGAAAAGTACAAAGGGATATGTTCTCTTCCCTCGGGAAGCTTGCAA